GTTGGTAGTTATATCAATTTAAATCAATTTTTAAATATTGCTAATTTTTCTTTGTATTTACTTATGCAATTATCAATGTTTTAATAAGTGCCTGGTTCTGGGCTGGATACAGTGGAGGTTATAGAAGTATTAGAAAACATAGCTTCTGTGCCTGAGGAGCTCTCAGTACTGGAAGAGATAGAACTTAAATCTGTGAAGCCACTAAAAAACAATACAACATAAACTCAGTGTGTTATTAACTATATGTTACAGAAATTTGGAAAAGAAAAATAATGGGCAGGGGTGGCCTCAAAGAAAGAAGGCTAGTGCTGATCCTAACCAAAGAAGGTATTATATTTGCCATTTGGGATGGTGGGGGGATGGAGAAGGAACATTTAGAGAAATGTTGAGAAATAAGTAGAAATGCACGGGATGGGGTCCCTAAGGAGACTGGCTTGACTTGATATGGAGGCTGCCTGTTGGGAATAAAGAAAGAGAAGATTGGGTTGGTGAGAGGGAACTTGGATGTTACAGGATGAATGGTGGCTCCTAAAAGTGTATATCCATATTAATCGCAGGAACCTGTGACTATCACTCTATATGGTAAAAGTGAACATTACCTTATATGGCAAAATACTGTGATAAGGGTTTTGAGAGGAAGAATTTATCCTGGATTATCTGGGCAGGTCCTAAATCCAATGACAAATGTCATCATAAGAGTGAAGCAGAGGGAGATCTGACAGACAGATGTGGAGGCAGCGTGACCACAGAGGCAGAGATTCAGTAATGTGGTCACAAATTAGGGAATGCTCACAGCCCCAGAACCTGGAAGAAGTAAAGGATGGATTCTCTCTCCCCTGGAGCCTCCAGAGGGAGTGTAGCCCTGCCAAACTTCTGGCCTCCAGAACAGAAAGAACAAAATTTTGTTGTTTTAAGCCACCAAGTTTGTGGTAATTGTTACGACAGCCACAGGAAACTCATATACTGGATATGGTGACCTACTAAGCAGTACTGAGTCTTCTCTTGAGTTGGAGAGTGACATGGCCAAAGGGCCATTACAGTTCATCCTTTCTATAATGATCAGGTACTACTTTTTTACAATGAAAAAAATACAATTAAGTAAAAATACAGTAGTTATAAACTGAAAAGAAGGTTCATTTGGCAGCTTTTTGCAAGATGGATTACCTAGGGAAGTGGGAGTAGAAAAGGAGAGATGGTAGGGAGACCCATTGGGAACCTATTGTAATAATCTGTGAGTGGGGCCCTGACTAATGTAGGTGGTAGGAATAGAAAGGAGGAGCTAAATCAGAGATTTTATAAAGGAGTAAATTGGCATGACTTCAGTGGGTGAATGCGGAGAGTCACAATGGTAGAAAATTTCAAGGAAGCATAAAATGAAAAGGTTTGTTACTTAACCTCACCACTGCCTCCCCAAGTGCTAATGCCACAGTGAGCTGGATTAAATGAATGACTACATAGCATTAATATAGCAATGCATATGAAACGCCTGTCGGTTTTAGGTAGAGCCCTTTAAGGGGATTGTATGATCAAGTTAAAGAGTATTACCTGAGAACCTGGAGGGGAATAGTCGTGCTTGATGATAGTGAGTTACCCTGTGACACGTTGCTATAATGCAAACCCTTGAGTCTAGACCCTTCTCTGACATTGAAAATCTCTGGACTAAAATTTTGTCATCTGTGAAATAAAGAGATTGCTGTGCATATCTGTGTGTGTGTGTGTGTGTGTGTCCACTACCAGCACTCCTGTATATATAATTATCTTTCCCTTTATAATGTTATTGTTTATGTCATGTCTGCTGTGTTTCACAAGTCTAAATACTTTAAAAGTAAGGACCCTGTCTTATATTAATATTTCTAGAGTTTTACAGTGTTTGGGGCATAGTGGATGTTCAATGAATGGTTGTTGAATAATGGAGTTAATTTTCCTGCTTTATCTGACAAAGCTGAGGATAATAGTTTACCTCACCTGAAATGGTGTGAAATAACTCAAGGCCTTGTCCACTGTGAGTGCTCCCTCCCTGCACACCCTGACTTAGCCCTAAATTTATGTTGTTGTTCTCTAAACTGATTCACGCACCTTTGGAATAGGATTTAATCTGGACCCTGCAGGCTTCCTCATTTTCATAAGCCCCTAAAGAGCATGCAGCCACAATCATGTCTCCTCCTCCTGCGGAAGTTAAACCTGTTGACTGGGAAGCCTGTGCCCTCCACACTCTGGCCTTTGCAGACTGTTCTGTCTTTCTAGAATGGTTACATTCAGAATTATCAGAACTCTCTCTTAACTGAATCCAGTAGTTTTATCTTAGTTCCCAGCCTTTTGAACACATAAATTAGAAACATTTAAAAATCATAAAAAATGCAGATGAGAAGAAAAACTTCCTCACAGAAGAAATAGGAGAGAGGGAGGGGACATTGTGGTTATCACTGAGTTTGTGAAACATAGATAAGAATGATTTTTGGCCCAGCATATTTAAGGAATTTGTGAAGTTGATTTCAGTTTTAGTTTCTGGTTCCTAGATTCTAATTAACTTCCCCTATTCATCCCCCAATCTTTATGGCTTATGAAATATATTAAGTTCCTGAAATATATAAATACTGTAGTTGGCAACTAGTATAGTGACCTACATTTGTATAATACCTTTTTCTTTACAAAGTGCTGCCACACATTATTATATTTAAAATTTACAATAATCCTGTGGTGCACTTGACCTTCTTGAAAACTGATACACTAGTCAGATTTTAGCGGGTACCCAAAGCCAAAGAGTTGGTTTATTCCTGAGGAAAAGTTAAACTAGAGAGGTGGTATTATGTGGCTTTAAATGTAATTTTACAGGAGGTGACATAAAATACAGGAACCCTTTCTAATTAAAAAAAGGAATAAAATAGTTCCAATTTAAATATTTTACTACCATGAAAACTAAACAAAGGGTTATAACTTTTGTTTGATTTTTATGACTGTGCTAGGTTTGCTTCAAAAAATCAATGAAGTCTGTGAAGTACTCTGTGTTCTCTTGGTGGCTTCTCTTGGTGGCTACTCCTGCATTAATTTAAAAAAACAGCAGTATAGATAGTGCTGTCTGATAACTCATTTTATGACATAAACAATAGATGTGATTACCATTTATTTCACTATAGATATGAGTTTATGCTGTAAATATATTGCTTTTAAATAACTGTAGCAAAGCAAATACAGTTTGCTTTAATGTAGGACGATTTCAGAATATTTTATTAAAATTGTGCAATTGATGTGATATGAGCATAATTTAAAATTTAGCCCATGGTAATATTTGGATCAACTAGTCATCCTGGAATTGCTAATCAAATATTTGACCCTGAGGGAAAATTTCCTGAGACGTATATTGTTATACTGGAATAAGAACGTGCTGATGCAGAATAGAAAAGCTTTAAAAGACCAGTTCTTGAGAAGTTGAATTTGGGAGTAGAACTGAAGCAGCTAGTTTTAAAAATGGTGCTGGAAAGGAAAGATTTTTTCCCCTTGGAGTATTCAATTTCATTTCAGAGCCATCCTGTGAAATGCTAGATGCATTGGTTGGACATTATGTTGTGATACAGGGTCTGGTAAATGTGGCCGGTCCACATTTAAAGTGTGGTTTGCTTAACCTAACCATTACACTTAGTAATGATCTGATCTTTATAGGGTACTGGATATTGTTGATATATGATATTAGTAGTGATTTCAAACATACAAACAAACAAATCAGAGTTTTTATATCCAAATGAATATTGATCCTTTAAGTTTTGTTATCTGGAAAGGTTTCTACATGTATTCTAATGATCTGCCAGTGTTTGATCTGCATCTTCTCTTTTAGAATGTCTTTAAAGCCTCTGCAATATTCCTTTCAGTGTACTGAAGCTACACTTTTATTCTCTGAGGGCAACTTTCAGAAAGAACTGAATGTCATTCAGAACCTCGTCAGATAAACAAAGCAGATAACCCAGTTGTTTGGGAATCTAAAGAAAAATGTGTTGCTCTAAAATAACATAGCCTCTAAAGGCATAATGTATTGTGGCTTGTGAGAAAGTGACTCCTAAAGCACTTTCCAAAAAAAACTTGTTCATTGGAATAAGTGTACCCCCCTTTCAGGGGGACTGCTTTAAAGAAAATTTATTTGATGTGTAAGTTCAAGTTCATGTATGTAAAGATTCATCATCTTTACCTCATAGTTACATCTTGTTTAAGAACTTGGGGAGGTTTTAAAGCTAAACAATGAAGAAGATTAAGTTACTTTGCCAGTCACCAAAAAATTATGCGTATGCAGGTGAATGAATGCAAGGAGAAATCTCTTGAGACAGCCTGGAGTTATAATTATAGGCTTCTAAAGGCAGGAGAGCAGTATCCTGAAGATTTCAGGGACTTCCTGTGTGTTCCTTTCAGCTCAACAAATTTGGAGAGGGAATTTACAGCCAAATTGCTTAGGATACATATTTGTTTTTACATACACATAATTTTACATATAAATTTTATATCTTTTCTAAAAGAAACATTTAAAAATCATAAAAAAATACAGGTGAGAAAAAGCTGTTTATAATACACCTATCAGAGAAATCCTCGTTGACCTTTTGTTGACATCCTTTCCTCTGTGTTGTTTTATAACATTGAGATCATGCTGAACTTACAATATTGAATAGTGATTTTCTTATTATTTCCTCAAGTCAATAAAAATTCGGCAGTCTTTTAGTTTTTATTATCCAGCTACATATGGTTTATAAAGGTTACTGTTAAACTATTTAAAGTTTATTATTGAAGAAATAATGAAAACTTATATTATTTCTTCTCTCACATTCATGGTATCAAAAGTACCAGAAAAAAATTACACAGCAAAGCCTTGTAAGGCATTTGATGGGATTATGCTTTTTTAGTTCCATAGGCTTCATTAATTTATTATTTATAAGTGTTTTCCTTGCTAGTATGCAGTCATAGTCACTTTCCTAGACACAGAACTAAGAGAAAAAAATTATTTCTTCTCTCTCTGGCTGAAGGTGGTTGGAGGCAAAGTAAAGAAGCCTGGCAAACGTGGTCGGAAGCCAGCTAAAATTGACTTGAAGGCAAAACTTGAGAGAAGCCGGCAGAGTGCAAGAGAGTGCCGGGCCAGAAAGAAACTGAGGTATCAGTACTTGGAAGAGTTGGTATCCAGTCGGGAAAGAGCCATATGTGCCCTCAGAGAGGAACTGGAAATGGTAAGAAAGTCTTTCAATAAATGCATGAAAAAAATCAGCCTAAGCTTCGCAGTCAAATAAATATACATTAAAACATGCAGAAACCAGTTTTCACCTATCTATCTAGTTGACAAACATGGGAAAGAATATTCATTGGTCAGCCAGGATGTAGGCAAATAAGCATTTTCATACACTACTGGTAGGAGGAGAATATACATGACTATTTCACTGAGGGATTGTTTATGATAGAAAAAAAATGGAAAATAACCCAAATGTACAACAATAGGGGACTGGTTAAATACTACATTATACTACATTCATATATTGGACTACTTTGCACCCAGTAAAAATCACAGTGCACCTATATATTTATTGATGTAGAAAAACATTTACAATATATTGGTAAGTGGAAAAAGCAATATGACAGTATGTAACATAATACTATTTTTTTAAACATTTATTTATTTAGCATATTTCATTCTTTCACTTATTCATTCAGATTTTGGGTGGTGGCTGTAGAAATGTAAAAGAGAATAGGTAAGAGAGAATTGAAACCCCATTAGTGTGAGCTCAAGGGAGGAGGCGACAGGTTGGAGAAGAGAGAGATAATACTACCATGATAATTACAAAACTAGGGCAGGCTACCTCTGCTTTTTAGAAGGTAAGAAAATAAGGTTGGAGCATAAAGAGAGTTCAGACATATACTAGTCAGTAGATTTTTTTTTTTAGTATATTGAATTTGACTTATGCTATAAATTATTTCTCATCTCTACAATATAAGCCACTTTAAGGCGTAATCTTTGTATACCCCAAAGCTTGTAGTACACACTCAACACTCTGGTAGAAAGTAGATGTTTAGTGAATGTTTATGAAAGAGAGAAAGGAATTACAAAAGTATTTATTTTAGCAGTAGAAATAATAATGTGACCATTAGCCAAAAGAGATGAATTCTAATTAGTGGCATACTGTGGGAAGATGTTCTTTTAACCAGAGGGGCCTTTTTAATCTGAGCAGTACTCCAGTATATCACCAGAAGATTCAGCAGCAGTTTTGCACCCTCTTGTGAAAGATGGCAGGCTCATCCATGTCCTGGGTTAGAAATAGGAAATACAATGGAGGCTGGGATTCCCAGCAGCCAATTTGACCTCTCGGTGTAGGGGTTCTTATATCAAGCATTTCTACCAGTGGTTCCTGAACTCTGACTAGTAAAATTTTACTTAAACATATTTTCTATATTTCAGTACAAGCAGTGGTGCATGGCAATGGACCAAGGAAAAATCCCTTCTGAAATAAAGGCCCTACTCACTGGAGAAGACCAGAGCAAATCTCAGCAGAACTCAAGCAGGCACGCGAAGGCTGGGAAAACAGACGCTAACAGCAATTCCTGTGAGTACAATACTTGCAGAGTTTATATAAGTGTAGAAGAGTGTCTTAAGGTAGGATTTTTATTGACCACTTTCCTCTCTATGACTTTTTTCCCTCTGTATGTCTTTAAATAAATAAAATGGTGATGTTGTTTGTAATACACTAATAGGCAATTGAAATGGTTAGATTCTAAATACTGAAATGCATTTTACATGGGGTCTATAAAGAACAACTGATAAACTAATGGAAAATTTTTTTATTAAGTTTACCTAGTCCATAAATGGGAGTGTACCATTCTAGTTATTGTTAATAATAATACCTTTTATTCGTATTTTGATTTACAGCTTACAAAGTATTTTCACTTAAATTAAGTGTCTTAAGTATTTCCTCCAGTAATTGTGTGAAGGAATTACACTCTTCATGTTGTAGACGAAGTAAGGCATACCTTACTTACCCCCGGCTGAGGGGTAAGTAAGGTATGCCAGGCCCTCATCCAGTCCAGGCTCTGTCTTGTATAGTCGCCCATCACTAAAGAATTTGCTTGTTAAGGTGAAATTCACATAACATAAAATTAACCATTCTAAAGTAACAATTCAGAGGTATTTACTACATTTAAATGTTGTACAACCACAACCTCTTTCTAGTTGCAAAACATTTCATCACCCCAAAAGAAAACCCTAAACTCATCATTAAGCAGCTGCTCACTACTACCCCTTCCTCCCGCCCCTGACAACTGTGAATCTGCTTTGTGTCTCTATGGATTGACCTAATCTGGATATTTCATATAAGTGGATCTACAGTATGTGACTTTTTGTGTCTGGCTTCTTTCAGTTAGCATAATGTTTTCAAGGTTTATCCACATTGTAGCATGTACCAGTACTTCATTCCGTTTTATGGCTGCATAACATACCATTGTATATGGATTCCACAGCTTGTTTATCCATTCACTCATTGATGGGTTTTCTTCTGCCTTTTGGCTGTTGTGAGCAGTGCTGCTATGAACATGCATGTACAAATATGCATTTGAGTAACTGTTTTCAATTCTTTTGGGTATATACCTAGAAGTGGGATTGCTGGGACATATGGTAATTCTATATTTAACTTTTAATTTAACTTTTACAGGAACCACAAACTGTTTTCTACAGTGGCTGAAATATTTTACACTCCCACCAGCAATATATGAATCTTCCCATTTCTCTGCATCTTGTCAACACTTTTTATTTTCCATTTTAAAAAACTACAGCCTTCCTGATGGGTGTGAAGTGGTGTCTGATTGTGGTTTTGATTTGCATTTCCCTACTGACTAATGATGTCGAGCATCTTTCCATGTGCTTGTTGGCCAGTTGTATATGTTCTTTGGAAAAAAAAGTCTCTTTAAGTCCCTTTCCTGTGTTTTAATTGAGTTCTTTTTCATTTTGTTGTTCAGTTGTAAGAGTTTGTTATATATTCTGGATTCTATACCTTTATCAAACATATGATTTTCAGATGTTGCTCCCATTCTGTAGGTTGTCTTTTCTCTTTCTTGATAATGTCTTGGGTGCACAAAAGGTTTTAACTTGAAGGAAGTCCAGTTTATCTATTTTCCTTTTGTTGTTCGTGCCTTATATGTCATATCTGACAATTCATTGCTAAATCCAAGGTCATGAAGATTTACCGTTATGTTTTTTCTAAGGGTTTTTTAGTTTTAGCTCTTATATTTAGGTCATTGATCCATTTTGAGCGAATTTTTCTGTACGGTATGAGGTAGGGGTCCAAATTAATTCTTTTGCATGTGAATATCCAGTTGTCCCAGCACCATTTGTTAAGGAGACTGTTCAGATTTTAGAATGAAGGTGTCATGTCATTGATTTCTTCATTATTGTGATTGCTTTGGGAGCACTTGAAAGTGTTATAAGGAAATGTTATGAACTTTTTACCTTTTGAGAAAATTTTACAAAATTGAAGGATTAGCTTGTTGGTAACTTTTATTAGATGAGGTAACATTTGCTTAATCTAAATTGAATTAAGAGGAAAAAAAGGCAAATCAGCTCAGTTTTCTTTCAATCTGTATTTTAAAATAGCCTTCTTATAGATACCAAACTTTAAAAAAAATTTGTTTTGATTTTTTTTTTGGGGGGAGAGAGAGAAAGGAGAGAGAGACAGAGAGAGAGAAAGAAAGAGAGAGAGAGAGAGAGAGAGAGAAACAAACAAACAAACAAACAAACATTGGTTTGAGAAAGACACATTGATCAGTTGCCTGCCATACACACCCTGACCGGGGATCGAACCCACAACTCAGGCATGTTGCCTGGTGGGGAACTGAACCTATGACCTTCCAGTGCATGGCACTATGCTCCAACCAACTGAGCCACACCACTAGCCAGGGCTAGATACTAAACTTTAAAAAAATTTTTTTCATGCATTTTAAAACAGATTAACTAAATTTCATTGACCTTAAAAACATTCTTACATTGGTAACTTTGATTTATTTTTCAGGGTGAAGATCATGTAAAATGATGAGTCAGTGATTGGAGTCAATATCCTGATTCCCATGAAGGATGAATGGGCAAGATTGTACTTGGCTCCATTTACTACCTACTGCTCCATAGTCATCTCTGTAGATCTGCAGTTTCTACCAAATGTGTGATCATAGATCTCAAAGGATTTTGCTTTAACTTTTAACACTTAGAAAATTTACAGACATTCAGACCTGTTCTGGTTGGTATTGCCACCCATGGCATTTAACATGTTGCAATGCTTGAAAACACAGGAGTAGAGAAAATGGGTAAAGATTGTATTTTTGCACCTTAACTCCACATTGCTTTATTGGTTAATTTATATTCTTTCCATTGTAATTGTATGTGTATGTGTGTTTAGGTGTCACTTCCTTTCATGTTTTTGATTGCCCTGCAAACAGAAACCAAATAGGCTGATTACTGACTAAGTTCTTAGCCTTTATGGACCTAATTTTTCTCTTTATATGTACTTGAGTAACGTCTGTTTTCTGCATGAACCATTAATTCTCCTGTGAGCCATTCCAGCATAAGCTGTGAATATATATTAACCAATATATACATTTCTATTTTTATAATCCATAATGATATGCCTGTTTTAAATAGTGTACATGTTAACAACATCTATCAGGAAAGCCCTCAAGACAGCCTCTATTTAAAACTTTCGTTGCTGTCGTCTCAAACTGTATTTATAACAGTTTGCTAGCGCCTAATCCATACTTGGAGAGTAATCAGTCAAATTTTATTTTTGAACAAGAAATAACCTTTTAGGCATTTCAGCAGTATACAACATCTTGACAACCCAGAGTGTATATGTATTTATGTGTTTCTGTTGTATGTGTATATGTGTATGTGGGGAAGGCAGGAGTGAATGTTCACACACATTTCCTTGTGTAGTCAACTAACTTGGAAAGTTTTCCTAAAGAGAATAGACTAAAATTAGCTGCTGAGATTGAGTTTCTGCCTCAAGAGATCTGGAACAAAATGAGGGGAAAATTGCTGGTAGATCAATTGCTATAGCCATAACTAGAACACTTAGTTTATTCCCTGATATGAGTTTCCTTATGAATGTGTTCTGAGCCAGAAAGAAACACAGTAGGTGTGCATCTGGTTCAGCCCCTGCTATGCCTCCACTCGGGAGTGAAACACTGGAGCTAGAGTTATGCACAGCACCACACCTAGGAGGTGCCCAAGGGCAGAGTAGTCCTTTCCAGTTCCCATCTCTGTGACACTGTCTTCCTGACCACCAAATGGAGGGATGGTTGAGGAATCCAGCTCATACACTCAGATAGACCTAGGAATCTTTTGATTTTCCCATTGAGACCCTCTCTCTTCTCTTTCTCCTAGTTAAATGAGGAGTTATGTTCCCTGTTGCTGCTAAATTATAATTGTCCTTGGCTCTAATGAAGCAAATATTTGGCTTCTAAACAAAATATGTTTTGTTATGAAATGGTAGTTGAAGAGGAGACATCATATTCTACTTTGTCTGTGAGGTGGAACATGAGATGGACCACATAGTTTCAGATAACAAGGTACTTCCCCCACCCCTTCTCTTAGGCTATGCATTTGAATAAAGTGCCTCCCCTCAGCCTGAGTTCCTAAAGGTCTCTTGTGCTTAGGTTGTAAACTCGGATCTCTAGTCCAGTCCTGTGTGACTACTGATAAACCACTAGCCCAGACTGCTGGGTCTCTCTGTGTTTTGGTGGACGGGGTGGGGTGGGGGGATGGTTAAGAGTATTTAATTTTTTTTAGGATCATAAATATAGATAAAGGATTGTTAATATTCAGGCCTTCAGAATTTAAGTGTTTCAAATATAGTGTTCAGGTTGTAATGGGTCTGTTTTGCCATCTAGCCTACTCAAATGTATATTTTTTATTTTGCAAAACAACCCAAGATGTACTCTATGTTACTTTGTTCAGTACCTTTTGAATTCCCCGGAAGAGTTGTTTTCAAAGCAAACATTCCAAAATGAATGTGGCTCTTCAGTGGAATGTCTCCATTGTGCTTGAAGTATTTCTTCTCTGGCTATCATTTTAAATTACAGGGTCAGGTATCTGAGATACACCTCCAACCCCAGTATCTTTACAAGAGCAGTGACTTTGTCCTCAGGTCAGGTAGAAGATGTATAACGTTGGGGGAAAGTAAATTACAATTTATTTGAGTTTATTCCTAAACCTTATCTGTAAATTACAATTTATTTGAGTTTATTCCTAAACCTTATCGGTATTTTGGAGTAGATCAAAACCAAGGAACTGTTCCTTGGTTTTGAAAAGGAAGGTTTTGATTGCTTTGGGTATTGAGCTCACTGCATGCTTTGGCCACTTGAAGCACATTAATAAATGTCACTGATTAAAACAGCTGGAGCATATCTTTCCCCATTTCAGTTAGGGAGCAGCATACTTAAATCTAGCCTCTCTCCCCTACCTATAATGCTGGCTGAGAGGACACAGAAGAGGGTGAGACAGTGAACTCAGTCCCTCTGGAGCAGTGGTGTTCTCCTTGCTCTCTGAGTCACAGAGTTGTTGTTTTTTTTTCTTTTTAACCCAAAGAAAGGAAGGTAAGGGGGGAAATGTGTTTGTATAGTTAGACCAATCATAATCTGTCACTAATTTAGCATAGACCTGCCATATATTAGAGCGACTGAATATAATATGGAATAAGTTTGACCAGGTCAAGTTTTAGGATATGGTTGAAGTTCTTAAATTTTTTTTCTATTTTACCTAAAATCTTTTTATTGTATTTAAATCAGAATCTATCTTATTGCAGTAAATTCATGTAGCAGTTTACCAGCTAATTGGCAGTATTTATCAGCTTCACCATTTAGCATTTTCTCTTATCATCTTTGAATTATGATAGACTTGATCTGGCTTATTACAAAAAGTGTAGGTTTAAACTGGACTTGCCTTTAGTTAAAATAAAGGGAAATATAAATGCTGTATTTCACAAGAAATCGGTTGCTTATTATCAATTACATACTTAGTTTTAAGGGAGAGGAAGGTTACTGTTAAACCACATGTTATTTTGGGGCATTGAAGGGATTTTCTTTCTCTGAAGAGCATTGTACAATTATATTTTTATGAAAAATAAAATATCTTCACCAGGAATATCTGAAATTGTCTGTTTACGACACTGACTTATCTCTCTAAGAACAGAGTAGTAAAAAAGAGTGAGATTTAGGCAGGAAACTGGTTCTTGCATCCATTTTCTGAGTTACCTTGAATTATTTAATCTTCAGCCTGTTTCCTCATCTATAAAAAAAAGTGGGAGGGTAACTTTCATAGAGTAAGTAAGTGGTAAGCTGAATACGAGTTATGAGAAACCGTTTCTTACATAGTAGAGAATTACATTAAATTTAAAATATTCACATATGTCTGGGTTTGACTATTGTTAGCTTTTAAATCACTGTAATTTAATCACTAACATTTAATGAGTTGAAATCTAAATATGTAGTGTTGTAGATATCATATTTCTGAAGACCTTTTAGCTATATCATGTCTACCCCTAGAATGGTACATAGTTGGAGGCTCTTTTTAGTAATACAGTAGTCCCCCTCACCCGTGTTTTCACTTTCCGAGGTTTCAGTTACCCTTGGTCAACCACAGCCTGAAAATATTAAATGGAGAATTGCAGAAATAATAAGTTTTCAATTGCCTGCCAGTCTGAGAAGCTTGATATCCATGCTATCCTGCTCCCTTAGTGAATTGTCCCTTTAGCAGCATTTCCACCTGTATATGCCCCCTGCCTGTTACTTTAGTAGCATCAAAGTTATCGGATGGACTGTTGGAGTATCTCAGTGCTTGTGTTCAAGTAACCTTTAATACTGACCTCCAAGCACAAGAGTAATGAGGCTGGCAGTTCAGAAATGCCAACGAGAAGCGCCTCCGTTAAGTGAACGATGAAAGGTCTCCGCTTGATAAGGAGAGAAAAAAAGTCCGTGTGCTGAGTGAAAACAAATCTATCCGTGAAATAGTGAAAAAGGAAAAAATCATCATGCTAGTTTTGCTGTTGAATCTCATCAAAAGTTACAGCCACGATGCGTGATAGTGAAGACAGGAAAAGCATTAAATTTGTGGGTGAAGGATAGGAACCTAAAACGTGCTCTGATCGACAGCAAGGTGTTGCACCAGAAAGCACTGAGCCTATACGAAGACTACAGCATGGGATCCCCTAAAACAGGTGACCACATTCACATAACTCTTATTACAGTATATTGTTATAATTGTTCTATTTTATTATTAGATATTGTTAATCTTGTATTACCTAATTTATAAATTAAACTTTATCACAGGTATGTATGTATAGAGAAAACATAGAATGGATAGGGTTCAGCACTGTCCATGAATTCAAGCATCCACTAGGTGTCTTGGAACGCACCCCCCTCGGATAAAGAGGGATGACTGCACTGGTTGTCAACCCTGAAGTAACAAGGTCAGCTAGCCAACATGAGTACAGTAGGGAATGGCAGAGGAATTGCAGTTCCGGACAAGCAAACCAGAGCAAACCATAGACAAGTCGAAAGAGACTGGAAACAAATGGCCACTGGAAACAAATGACTCACTAAATAAATTATTGTACATCCTTATAACGAAATACTATGCAGCCATTAAAAAGAATATTATGCCACATAATATAATAGCCACTATTATAAAAAAAGATGAGAAATAACACATGTTGGAGAGGATGTGGAGAAAGGGGAACCTTTGTACACTGTTGGTGGGATTGTAAATTGGTGCAGCCACAATGAAAATAGTATGGGGATTCCTTTAAAAATTTAAGGATGGAACTGCCTTATGACCTGGCAATTCCTCTTCTGGGTATTTATCTGAAGAATATGAAAACACTAATTCGTAAAGATACATGCACCCCTGTGTTCATTTGCAGCATTATTTACAATAGCCAAGATTTGGAAACAACCTAAGTGTCCATCGATGGATGAATGGATAAAGAATATGTGCTACATTATATACAACGGAATATTCAGCCATAAAAAGATGAAATATTGCCATTTGCGACAACATGAATGGATCTTGAGGGTATTATGCTAAGTGAAATATAGGTTAATGGAAGGAAACTAGACTTTTGTACACAAACGTCAAATTGTAATGTACACCCAAGGTTGGGTGATGAATGCCTGCCCATCCATCCCGCTGGCAACCTTAGTTGCCATGGGACAGGGTCTCACTTTCACCTTCCACAGCTGTAATAGCTTATAGAAACAAACAAACAAAACGGAAACAGGTGCTGTTCTAGATCTCTACCTAAGTCCTTAAATTACACTGAGTTTCAATGTGCGGCTTTTTCAGCTGCAGGTTTTTTAAACCACAAAACTAATAATTTCTAAATATAAGTATATTCCTCCCTTTGTCTTCTAAACAGTATACTCGTATTTTCTCTTAAAAAAAAAAAAGGCCATAAACCATTCTAGTAGTTTAAATTTTTCTTCAAAATAAATTTAAAAGTTCCTTACAATATTTGTGTTCATAAATTTGAGTCTGGGTTTTGACTGTGTTTCTTTCCACTTCTACTCCAATTATCAAATAGCTTTTTCTTTTAACATCTTGACTTCAGTTTCCCTTGATTTCACTTAGATTTGTTTCTAGTTAGTATAATTCACTTATAGTTTAACTGAAAATATACAATTATTATATGTTTAAGCTACATAGTTGCCTACAATGAACTATGACCAAGAGCAGCAACTTAAGTCCCATGGCGCTGGTTCTTGTGTTCTTCTAGAATGAACAGTTAGTCAAAACTGGTTTTCCCCCATCAGTTCTCTCTATTGCATGAGTGGAAATCCCAACAGAAGAATGATAATAAAAGTAAATTCTCAAGTATTTTGTGTATCCTGATTTTAGACCATTCCTTCTAAAGAAATATTTCAAGTGGGGGGAAGTTCCCTTTGGGGTGAATAGTGAATAGAAGTTGCTCTGCCACCTACCTCCCTTCCATTCAAGTTCCTGCTCCCAATTGTTCCTTCCACCTTGAGTCTGCAAAATCTTAGCAAAACTAAAAAAAAAGAAAAAAAAAGCTAAAGATGGAAGACAGTGACACATTTGTTGGGTTAGCACTATATTAAAATAACAATAGATAACCTTTAGTGAGGGTTTCCCAGGTATTTGGTAATGCTCTAAATGATTTATATGGATCTGGGCTCATTTAATGACTGCAACAATCCTATGAACTGGTGTCAGGAACTAGTCTTACATGTCAACTAGGCTACAGTACCTAGTTATTTAATCAAACACTAATATAGGTGTTGCTATTAAGGTATTTTATAGATGTGGTTAACATCTACAATCAGTTGACTTTAAGTATTAAAGAGATTAGTTTTGATAATATAAGAGCAAAAATGATGTTACCCAGAGAAGAAGAAACTGCTGGCCTGCCCCATAGATTTTAAGCTAACCAACTCCCTCCATTGCATGAGCCAGTTTCTGAAAGTATTATCATCTTTCTGCCATCTAACTATGTCCCATTGGTTCTGCTTTGCTGGAGAACCCTCATACAGGTGGGCACTGTTCTTCCCCCCATTATAAAAATGAAGAAGCTGGGGTTTGAAAGCAACCATCATACTATTTGGGACAAAGAAAAACTTTGCTGGCTGGATATATCATTGGAGCTTTGTGCCCAATTTTTACTAAAAGGGTCCATCAGACAGCCCAGAAGTTTAAATGAATCGACTGAGGCACAGTATAAGCCCACTCTTTTCAGCGCTGTGCCGCCCAGCCTCTGCCGGCGCTGTCCACATCTACTTTTATGCTGTCTCGGTATCTGTGCGATGGCCTTGTCTAACAGAACACACACAGTCTTCTCAAAGAGGTCGTTCTTTTGCTGATAGAGAAGGCAAGCAGAATAGAGAAGATCCATTCGAAATCCCCTAAAGGAGTTTTGATCTCTATCCAGCCGTTATGGGCAAACAGCTGGAACTGCCTTATTGACTGCCTGCTGAAAACCAGATTGTTTTCAAACTTCCAGACCTGCATCGTGATCCTGAAACCAGACACACATGGCTCGTCACTGCAGAGCCCGGCGCGTGTGGGGGTCATATTCCTGCAGAACTAAAATCATACTTTCTACAAATGATAGGTGAACCCTAACTGTATAGGGCTGATAGTTTTTGAAGCAACACATTTTTAAAGAGGCTCCTTTTTGAGAAAGAATATAGAGCTTTTGAACAGAAGTGCTCAGCTGAGCAAAAAGTTTAGAGTGGCCCAAATTGTAGGGGCTCAAAAGGTTAAAGAGGGCCTGAAGAAATGCAATGGGCCTAAAATAAATTTAAGTGCCTACTTACCAGGAGCATAGGAGCATTAATTTTTAGGGAAAGCCTAGATTACATTGCTATAAAAAGGAGCATGAATTCTCATAATCAAATGATAAAAAAGAGCAGAAAAGAGAGAGAGGCCCTTTAAGTGTCCGTGAAACTACCACCAGTTTGGTGGTCTGATGTTTTTGTTTTTTAAATGATACCATTTGTAAAATGAGTTTAAAATAATATTTTGACTAGTGACTTCACGAGTCTGTAAAAGGTATTAATTATTTTGGAATTTCCTCCGATGTTTAGAGGCTTTGTGTTTTGAACACACTGATTGCTTCGTTGATGTCCAGCTGCTGCGGGTGCTCAGTTTTCCCTGGCTTGTTGCTAGGAGACAAGACTTCGCTGGAATCGCCGGGGACGGGCATCTGAGGAGGTGGCGGGCCCTGCCTACGGGCCACAGTGCCATCCAGCGGTCATTCTGCACAACAGTTCGACAAAGCCCGTTCGCATGTCCACTAACCGCAGCACCGTCAAGTGGCCTCTGCTCCAGGTGAATTAGCAGGTGAACGGAAGGGTGGGGAATTGTTTGTACTCCTCCTATTCTTCCACACAGCGAGGATTTTCCCTCCAGTACATGAATCAGGCCACGGCAAGCAGAATGGTGAAGAGGGCATTGGGCTGGT